GAGCGAGCGAGAGAGAGAGAGAGAGTCAGAGAGTCACAGAGTCCGAGAGAGAGAGAGAGAGAGAGAGAGAGAGAGACAGAGAGAGAGAGAGCGAGAGAGATGTTCGAAAGCTCCCTCTACTCGGTAGCATGGCAGAAGTGACGGGGTGGTCCTTCGGCACGTACTTCTTCAGCTGATCTTCCCTTGCGGTCGCGAAGTGCACAAAGCAGACTCTAGCTTGAAGGGCCGTCAAACCTGGATTTCTTCCAGGCATCCAGTTCCTCCATGGTCTTGCAATCCTCTGCGCAGAATCATCAACTCTAAGCACGACAGCTGAGCTGAAGCTGCCAAGTTGCAGAAGGATCGCTTGGAACGGCAGGAGCCCTGACAGCACAGCTCAACACATCGCGCTTCAGAGTCTGAGTCCCAGCCTAAACCCTCATTGAGGCTCCGACGCTGGTGCCGGGGCTGGAGCTGCCAGCAATGCCAGCAACTGCAAAACCGCTCTGACACAAAGCGAAAAAGGGCCGTGAGTGAGAACGGATCATGGAATCATATTGGGCCTCGGGTGCCTTGGCCTTGGCATCCTGAGAGGTTCCGGAGTCTCGGACCGGTCGGGCCAGTCAGGAAAGTCTCAGCTCCAGGCGGCGCCCTTGGTCTCCTGCTTAACCTCACCGTCAGATCAGAGGAGGGGGGAGGCTCGCTGGCGTCTGCCGCTGCCCACCTGCTGTGCTGCCTGCTCTGCCTGCTGGGCAGCCATCGCAGCCTCGAGCGGCGGCATTTGCGAATACGGCCGAAGCCCGTTCAGCGCGGGCCTGCTGTGCCGCCTGCTGCGCTGCAACCTGCGACTCGACGCCAGGAGGCAGGAACTGGGCCCTGCCACGCCAGAAACGAGGAGAGACAGCAGCTACCTGTACCTCTCTGAGTTCATGGTTCCACTATGCTCCGTTCCACCATTTCCAGCCGAGTGGCCGATAGAACTGCCCCAGCTGGTCTGCCAGCTGAGACTGCGAGGATTGCACCTTCGAGATCTATACTCATCTAAACAACAACTCGCAGCATCTCGAAGCTCTTCCAAGTATCTGCGAATCCCTGCGCAAAAGATGCGGAACGAGAGCGGTACACAACACAAGAGGCAGGCATTAGGCACGACCATGCAAAACCTCAACTGCTTGCAGCCTCCGCGCAATGATTCAATCAATGAGTGCTGCACCTCAGAGGCCGAACCTCCGAAGGCTCCGCCATATGCCTCATCTGATGGACGTATATGGACGTGATCTGAAAAGCCCGCTTCCCTTTTAAGTCCATGCCTGTCCAACGTTCGTGCCCATGGGTGCGTAGGAGGAGCCTCCATACATCCTGCAAGAAACCCGGAGGCGGAGCGTACGAAATGCCTGATGCATCCTTGGGGCCATGACCCACCCATGCCAGGCATTCCGCCCATTCCGCCCATGGCCGGAGAAGGGACCTGGGACCCAATCCCAAACTGTGACATCCCCAAAGGCCCATCACAAGAAAGAGGCGCCACAGGGGAACCGACGCCCTGCTGTGGCATGGCACCCTGGGTAGGCATGGTCATTGCCTGTCATAGCGACTAGAACACACCGGGCAACTTCGGGCCAGGGAGTGGGAGCAGGGCGCATAGCATCAATTTCATACATTCTCATTGCTAAACGAATATCATCTGCAGTGGCGGATGCTCGAGACGACAATCTCTCCTAATTTCAATTTATGGGCATTATTCTGCTCTCAAATGACAACGAAATCGGATCAACCAGTAACTCAGAGCGATTTGTGGTGTATAGCTTCCTGAACAAGACCTCCTGCTCAAGTCCAAATTGTGCAGGGAGTGCTGGCACGCCCGGGGCGTACATTGACCTGGATCAGGCGTCGCAACATGTACAGGTGATCTGCAGGCTAACGGTGTGACTCCGATGCCTGTAGATGCCACCAATGTGATTGGCCAGCTGCGCTTGCTGCAGCGAGGCCTGTGCCAGAGCACGCTTCTGACTGCGCAGGAGGGCAGGCGCTGCAGGTAGCAATGTGGTGCGTCAGAGGCTCCCTTGGCAAAGCTTCCCTTCGAGAATACCCCGACTTTCAGACGGTGAGGTTTGCAGGGACCTTGCTTTCATCCCCTTTCGGCATATGAGCTGGATCCCTTCTCGCAAAGGCTCCCGGATGTTTCGAGCGGCCCGTTGCACGCGAATCGAGTCCCCGACATCTGACAAGGCAGGAGATGCTGGAGTGGCAGCAGTCGCGGGCTGGCTCGGCATGGAAGCCTACCGCCAGCCAAGCGCAGGCAGCAAGGTTAGAATGTTAGAATGGCGAGGTTTGCCAAGGTGACTGCGCCTGATCACTCATGGCTCCAGCCACCAAGGCAAACGAGGCTCCTGCGACGTGGGTCACAAAACATGTCGATGTGTTGAATATACAAACGGCACAGCGGGTGCGACAGTCTCACCTATCACCTTTTGTCAAATCACTGCTGATGTTCATGAAAGGCGCTGAAGTGTTCTGAACACATACTTCGATGTGCAGCACATCTTCCAGTCGACTTTCTATAAAACTGCCAACATAATCGGCAAGATTGCTCTTGCTTCCCCCGGAAAAGCCCCCCCTGATTGCTTCGCCGCGACTTTGTCGTGCTCAGGACTCATCAGGCAATACATGGAAAGGTACAAAGCACGTGAGCGGAGCCTCTGATGATCTCTGATGCCTACTTACGCTAGTCAGCTCCTGCAGTCTCCGCTCTCGCAGAGGCTCTAGCAAGCCCGCACCCGACCTGCCCTTCGTCGGCCATCATGCCGAAAAGTGCTGGTCTTGCGCCTGCATTTGAACCCGTTGCGCTTGACCGGACAAGTCACGAGCCGTGCCCGCAGCCGAGCTCACCAACTTGCACGCTAAGTGGCATTACGGATAGCAGCCCGAACCGCTCCTCCGCGGCCAGGTTCTTGGCCTTTGGGCAGACGCTCAAACAGCTTGACAAGTCCAGTTGCAGTGCAAGCCGCTTCTTCTCCCCCGCTACCCAAACTAAAGCTTGACCTCCATTTCACTTTCAAACTCGTCCAGCTCCTGGCAGAACAGTGTCTGCTGTCTGCAAGGATGGACCATCGATTCACCCGCCCTCCTTCTGCATGGACTCAGGCAGCTTGTGCTCGTCCATGATTTGCTGTAGGACGTCTCGCGTCTTGGGCTCCGGAAAGTCGAACGACCAGGTACTGAATCCTGACGCAAGCTCAAGCGACAGTTTCCCTAGCCGACTTCCGGTAACCATCTGTGGACTGATTCCCCATCTGATTCCCCAAAACTCCTGTGTCACGGAAGGTGCCAGTGTCACGGAAGGTGCCAGTATCGCGAAAGGTACCAGTGTCGCGGAAGGTGGAACGGAACGTGGCAGTCTCTCCGAAAGCCGTGGACGCTTCAGCATACAGCCTTGGTGCAAGAGTTGACTTTCTTGCACTCGATTTGAAACTATGGCCATCGCTCAATGTGTGCCAGAGAGCTCCTCCCAATCCTTCTCAGCCATTTGTCCTGCGAGGGCCTCAGCCACCACCTCGGCCTGGCAAAGGAGATGCTTGTGCTTGGAATGCATGTATATGCATGTGTGCGTGTTTGTCTGTGTGTGTGTGTGTGAGTATGTAAATATACATACATGCATATATTATAAGATTGTATGATACTGCACTCGATTTGTATTTATGAGTCTACGGGAATATTCTGTTCTCGATTGCTGTTGATGAGTTCCAGCCCTGCCTGCGCCTCCACCTCGCGCAAAGCCCGGCCGTCATTGACTTGATCCTGGACGATTGCAGACGTCACCGCTCGCCTTTGTTCGAGCCTCTGTTGATTACCAGTGTACGAGCTTTCATCTATCTTCAGCTTATGCGTTGCAACGCTCTCGATTCAACCGCGCTGATTGGGGTGCTTGAAGGATTGCCCCTTGTGTTACCAAGGATCTTGACAAGGACGAGTTTCGGCAGAATGCGGTTGCGGGAGGTTCATCCTCACATGATTCGAGGCTTTTGGCAAAGTCTGGTGCTTCGGCTCGCAGCTTGCAGCGAGGCTTCGGCACTGCAGAGTGTGCAGGATTGCGGTTGTGCAGTTTCGCTCAGCATTACTGCAAATTCAAGGGTTGAGTACGGCTTCCAGACTGCGACCTCGTGCTAAAAGGGTTTTTGGTCAATGGGCAGCACGATTCTGTTTGGGGGCGAGCGTGGCAACTGTGGGGGGGAGATCGAGTCTGCGAGTGTCACAGGGATTGTGCTCGTCCGGCATGGACTGGTCTGACCATGTGAGCCACGAAGTGAAGACCAAAAAAGACTTCCGGCAAGAACCACAAAGTTCAAAGCTGCCTCTAACAATGTGAGCTCTTTCAACAGCAGCTCGTGCCGTCCATCTGGGAGCTGCCAGGCCTCTGGGGGCCCGCCTCATCAGGAGCTCTCCGCAAAAACAGGCTCTGCAAAACATCTTTTCGAGAAAAATTATTCTTCCTGTTTTCCCCCCACGATGTTCAGTAGAACAAACGGTCGCCCCACGCGCGGCCCAGGCACTTAGTCTCGACTCTGCCAGGAGTTGCTCAGCGGCTGCCTGGACATCTTCCAGCGAGGACTCCTGCGTCTCTGTGGCAAAACTTCGTAAGTTCACTCTGCATTTAAGGCCGCGATCAAGGTCGGTCCTTGCTCTCGCGGTCCAGGTCTTTGAGACTACTCATAACGAAGGCGTTGGTTGTTCGCCGCAGGGAACGTGAAGTGTCCTCCGGGCAGTGCATCGCTGCGGGGATGTACAAATTTTTGGGATGCCGATAGAGCGCCGCATCCTGCACGGAACGCAAGAGCTGCTTCACGATGGAGTCCAGGGAGCTGTGGAAGTGCGCAGGGATGTCAAAAACGCTGCCAGATCCGGAGCCTAGAACTGGCACGGCGTGGAATCACCCTGACCGACTGAAAAAAAACAAAAGCGATACAAAATCATCGAATCAAGACCGTGACCAAGGTTCTCAAGTAGTCCACATACGCAGCAACACCAGCTCCCCAGAGAGTCCAGCAGTCGGCTGAGGAACACCTCAGAAGCGCCGGAGAAAGCCTCCTCTCCTACCAGAAAATTTAAAAAGAAAAAACGAGGAACATCCCTCAACTGCATGCGGGGAGCGTGTTAGAGTCATATGCAAGGAGGTATCTGGTAGTAGCTTCCAGCGGATGTGGAGACAGGATGAAGTGGTCATCCTTCAAATGCTCGATGCACATCGTCTCCAGACCCGCGCGTATCCTTAAAGACACAGACTGCGACTAGCCTCATCGAGGCGGGACCCTCCAACCAGCAACAAAGGGCATTTGAGGGCTGCTTTTTCAAGACTACATCCACCGAGAGGCATGTTTTCCACCCACAGCCCATGCTGATCGGTCTCGGAAGGCTTCTCCATGGAGACTCTCTGTGTTCACAGTTAACAGGTTCCGATCGAGATGTATAGGGGCTTGCAGATCACTGTAGCATGAGTGCATCGTGCTATCAACACCACTGTTCTATCTATGCTCACAACTGCCCTGTTCCAGTACCTTTCCTCCTTGCCTTAAACTTGTGCACTCCAACCCCGATTTGCTGATGGGCGGCGGTCTGTCAGGTTTGATCTTCATGGGCACTGGGTGGGCTACAAGTACTCTTTCCGTGAGCCAAGCTTGCATCGAGAAAGCTTCTTGGCACAAGCAGTGCCGAGCCAACTTCTTCAGATTGGAGTTGCAGACATGGTTGCTAGTAATGCTAGTACCACAACCAACTCCGCACACAAAACTTTGAACTGCATTGTTGAAAACAGCCATGCCCAGACACAAGAGCTGAACAGTCGACGTGCCTAGGATTGCCCTCATCGCTAGCTTTGGAAGCGCTTGCCTCAGTTGTCGCTGGTACGGCATGCACGAAGGCAGTGCATCCACGAGCTGAGGGGTTGGCAAGAGTGCGAAGTTGCCGCGCGTACACTCTGGGTGGCATATGAGCAGCCGCACGGCAGCGCAACTCAACTCATCCACGGATTTGGTCAGGCGGTGCACCATGCCGGATTATGCAAGCAGTATAAGCACGAAAGCATAGTCTACCCATTCGCCGTTTTCGTCACGTGCGGCGACGAAGGATGCTGAAAAATGCCTCATCAGTTGTAGTACTTGCTGATGTATGCCTGGCGAATAAACGTCGGAGACATTGCTTGCGGCCACTCGCCAATCACGAAGCTTCAGAAGTGTAAGTCCCTGCCCCCACCTTTTTGCCAGGGTTGTGCTTCTTGGTAACAAGAATGCCTCCCCAGTTTGCCTTGACCACAGGTGGGCGCCATCATGGGTCACCAATACTGTATTCAGCAATGAAAGCTTAGCCGGCTTAGCCCAGCACGACCCACATGTTGTAGATTCGAATGGGAACCTTCTTGATCTTCCAGTTTGGCCTCATTTGCTGGGGCCTGGCATTGCTTCACGTGCATCCAACCCTCCCATTTCGGTCCTGGAAAGCTGCCGGCAGCGCCCTTCCTGGTTAGGCGCTCTGCTCAGTAGCCTGTGCATCTCCTCGCAGGGCGGCTCGGCGGGCTTTGTGAGCCGAGAAAGTCCGTCGCGCAGCGCTGAAGCTCCTGCTCGAGCTCGAGATTGATCTGCGAAGGCAGTGGAAGCAGCATATCAGCCTGGCAAAGCCGGACGAGAGAGAAGGCTATACAAAGTCAAAAAGCGCCTCAATGTTCAGAGCTCGATGGCCTGAAGCAGGTGTGCACCGTGATTAGACGCGGGAGCTTTGATGCAAGCAAGCCATTTCCTGCACTGTGATCGGTCTTGCAGCGCTGAAGCTTCGACAGCAATTCTCTGGTATGATTGTTCGCAGCTGGCCTGTCTTGCAGAAGAAGCCGTCCTTCTGGAACGGGACATGACTCTAACTTCCAAGTCACTGGTACGAGCAAAGCAGCAGCTGATGTCCTCATCGAAGGCCTGCGCCAGCTGACACTTCGTGAAGACGTGATTCTTCGACTGCCCTTGCTATGCAGTCATTAGATCATCCCTCCCACCTCCCTGGTACTGCGAGGGCGCCCGTGGTAGGCTGTGAAGATGCCATCCCCCTTGACACGCAGCTCGCCTGCAGAGAAGCACAGCCTCTCCCAAATGCATCACACCGGCGCACGATTTTGAAGCCACAGCACTTGCTCACCAGGCCTTCGTCTGCTCGCCACTGCAGGCCATCGGCACAGTAGCCGGCATGCGCAATGGCCTCGCCCTGCCGTTCCGCGACCTAACCCCTCGGCCCTCGACTCTTTCGGCACAAGTCAGCCGCACCTCCTGCTCGCACACTGTGTAGAGAGTGCCGGCCTGACAATGTAGCTCACAACAGAGCGAGGCCCGCTGCTCACAGCTGAACGAGCAAAGCTGCAGAATGAATCGCATGACAGTGTTCCGCACTAGCGGCGATCTCAGAGGCTGCATGCTGCAGCGAAAACTGAGAGAGCACGGCTGGGCTGGAAGCGCTCTGTCGCAGGGAGCCCACTGCAAAATTATTGTGCCTTTGCTTTTCTAATTAGTTCGGAAGGACTTGTATGTCGAGCTGCAGCTGTCCAGAGGGTCTAGGGGCTCCTTGCTTCTGGGCAATGGCAATCCCAGCCAGCATCTGCGCACTTGCGCCACCAACACAACGTGGTGTCACAGCGCGGCTGAAAAGTGCCGGAACGGCAACAAAATTGCCCGAAGGGAAACAAGCCTTGACGGCTGCAAAGGAGGAACAGTCTGCGGCACAAGCCGCTGGCGACACAAGCTGGCGGGCCTTCATCCTGCTCTCTCAGGCACTTTCAGGCCCGTCCGGAAGGGTGCTGTATGCATCCGACAGTGATCGAGCCGAGCGGACGACCTCGCAACAAAAAGAACCTAGAGAGTCTTGGAGTCACACGGGTCCGACAGTGATCAGCAGGGCCTGTCGAAGCATTCCCAGCAGTAGCAGGGACATCGCCATGAACAGCAGGCCGGCCACCTGGGCAGGTCAAAGGGCGCTTTGCCTTTAGAACTTATCAGCGCAAAGCCTCGTCGCTGCTGGGCTCCCCACTAGGAGCAGGCTTTGGCCTTGGGCGTGGGCGACACATCGCGCTGCATGCTGCAATACAACACTTCATGTCCGCAAGCTTGGATGATGGCTTCGTTCGTCTGCCCGGAAATCCACTGGACGCGCCTGCGTCAACAGCGCGTTCTCAGCTCAAGTGCCACAGCCGGTGAAGCAGTCAGCACTTGCCCACATTCTGCATTGATTTGCTTGCCGGCACCGCCAACCGACAACCCAGGGCGACAGATTGGGGAGTAGGCCCTCGCGACTAGAACAAACCGCAAAGGCGACATGCGTGTCTTACACACACATATGCAAGCAGAGCAACATTGAGACCACCTCTTGCAAACTTGTCCCTCTCTGAATCTCAAAACACGGATCTGCAAGCCTCTCTGCAACGAGGTGACTTCTGCGAAACTGATGGGCTTTCCCGGGCTTCTCAGAATGACATGGCAACAGCAGGAACCGTAGCAGCAGCAGCAGCAGCAGCAGCAGCAGCGAAGCTGCTGAAAGTCATGATTGCCACAGTTACCTGAGCTCGGGTGAGCAGTTGCCTCTCCGAGGAGGTCACAATGGCAAGCGTCCCGACCCCGTCCTGCAGGCACTCGGAGTCACAGCCCGAAGTCTGAGTTCAGGTATTGCGAAGAACTCTATGGGTTGCGGTTCACGCCGCATTTTGGCAAGCCTCTCCCGGCCTGCGACGATCTCCGCTCCGATCATCCCCTGATCCTGCCGGCAGCCAAATGCCGGGCAACGCGATATGAGACATAGTGAGAAACATGATAAGATCAAATCTACAGTGAGCCGGTCCGAATGTGCGAGAGCATGGCAATGCACCTAGCGGAGGGTTGACAATGCACCAAGATGCAACAAGGTTCCATGCGAGAAGGTGTCAGTCTAGGCGAGAGGCATCCCAAATGTATGGAATAAGAACAGCAACTAGGAGCAAGCGAGGCAACCTCGCAGGCAAACAGGAACCCCCTAGAACGTGATCAATGAAGTTGAGACGCCACTTCCGGTCCAGCAAAATCGACTGTGCTGAAGCGGACAGTAGCCTCGCAGAAGCGTGTGGACATGGCAGTGGGGCCTGCCAAAGACGACTAGACCCGAAGTGGCTAAACCGAAAGTCAAACGTGTTCCAATTGTTTTCCACGTGGGGTCGTCGTCCCGGGACACTATTACACGAAGGAAAAGCTATCCTAAATCTGAGTCGAGCTCACAGCTGACAGGCAAAGCAAGGATATAGCTGTACCGGCCAGCGTTTTAAGATAGATCTTACCACATGTACTTAGACAAGATCCCCGCAGGCGGCCTTAGAGTCAAGAACGTTCTGGTAAGTGTCATGCCAGTCGCCGGCCTGACGGCACCCCGATGAAGCACACACTTGCTGTCTTTCTGCGGGCTGGCAGGAAACCCCGCATGGGATTTATGATTTAAGGGCTTGGCAGAAGCAGTCCCGCTTCATGTCACAGACCCATTCACAATTCAGAAGCAACAAATCCCGCATCGCAGCAGCAGGCATCATTTCACGGACCCACTATTCAGAGGCAACGACATGTTAGCAGTCTTAGCAGGCTACCGCAGTTCAAAGGCAACAAATCTTACATCTTGGCAGGCCTCATGTCACAGACCATAGTACATCTTGGCAGCATTCATGTCTCAGACTCGACCAACTCACAATGCAGAGATGAAAGGCAATCTGCACCAGAAGTCATTCAATGGGCTGTATCTGACCTGAAGCCAGGCTTGATGTCCAGGAGAGATTTGCACAAAATGATCTGAACTCTATTGCCAAAAACGGCGCATGCCACTTCTTCGCATGTATTGTAGTCATTGTAGTCTGCACGACTACTTGCATGCGAATGCTCAGGTGACATTTCCATCACACCCATCCCAGACCTCTGATAAGGGGAACATTTAAACACCTGAGACATTCCGCAAGCAGCTGCGGAGGAGGCAGCCGCTGATGAATTCCACAGCTGCCCATCCTTTGCTACGAAACTGGGCTCCTGATATACCAATCTGCCACTTTCCGCACCCTCCTGCTACGCCCCAACCCCAAAAGCACGGAGTGCAGTAAAAAACAAACAATAATCAATCTACCACTGCCTCGCCCCCCCCCCCCTGCCACGCACCCCCCTCTCCCGCCGCTCCTCCTAGATTGACAGTACCACTGAAGATGTCTCTGTCGCCCCTTTGTCTGCCCCATTGCTACAGCAGACTTAACTCAAGCAAACAGCTCTAGCCCTGCCTAAATTACGATGTCAACTCTTCTCGCGGGTATGGTGGATCCTGCTTGACTTGGGCCTCACCCGTACTTGTGCCCTCTCCCCCTGCCAAACACACTGAGCATGCAGATCTTTGAAAGCCACGATATTATGTGAATGTCATATGTACATGTATATATACATATATATATATATACACACACACCTAAATATACGTATACGTTTTTATACGTACTGAATGTACGCATGTATCTATGTATGTATGTATGTATGTATGTATGTATGTATCTATGTATGTATGTATGTATGTATGTATGTATACATGTATGTATACAAACACATTATGTTCTCCCTCTTCCTCCATCCCCGGGTTCAAACTATGCAGCATTTCGACTCGTTTTGAATAGGGGCTAGCGGCGGCTAGCGGGTTTGGAGGCCAGACCTTCGTCCCATGCGCAGTCTCCCCTTAGGCCCTTCGGCTGCAAGTCGACCCGAAAATCGCACTGACTGCTAGGGTCCGTCGTTTTCGGCCAGAGACGACAGACGCCCAGACGGCCCCGACACTTCATGATGGCCTTGAAGTAAGGGTCGTTGCCGGCAGGCGTGTTCTGCAGTTGAAAAGGCCATGTGTGCTGGTGAAAGCCTCAGATGAAGATTGAAGGATCTGCACTCAACAAGCTAGAACACCGAGCCTTCGATGAGTCGTGTTCAGAGGTCCGCCCGACGATGGTGCGTGCAAGCGACTGTGCTTGTCAATCCCTGAAATCTCTCGCTGCACAACAGCGTCGCGTGGCCACTGATGCAAGTATTTCTTGGCACCTTCGAAGAGGTGGCCATCAATCCAACGAGTGTGAACCCCCTGTCCCAGCGGAGTCTTGCAGCTGCAATCCGGGCTCGTCAGGCCACCGCTGAGGTCCTGCAAATACGTCGGCCGGCTACGAGGATGCCAGGGGGCCAAGTCCTCTTTTCTGGATCCCTGCGACTCGACAGAGCGGATGGAAAACAGGGGACCCACGTAGGACTTCACCCCATTTCCGGGACTGGCCAAAGAAGCTATGGCATGATTGGTACCTTCCTCACTACCTGGACAGCGTACGACTAGATCTGCTCGTCCACCAGGGGGCAGGGACACGCGGGTAATCCAGCGTGGGAAGTCATCAATGTAAATGCCGTCTTTTGCGAGCAGCGCGGTCTCGCAGCTTCCAAAGTCCAAGAAAAGCCAATCAGAGACACCGGCCATTACCAAGCGCAAGCGGTGCCACTGGGTTGAGGATACGGTAAGAACGGGCTGCACTGCGCCGTTCACCAGCCAGAGGTCTTCTGGTGGTGAGCTCTGGAAGAGCTGGTCGCCAGATGCCTTCGCAGCTGCCGTCAAGAGCGGCAGAGGCAAGTTCCTCAGAGCTCGCAATGCTAACGCTTTACGTGAGGCACGGGGTAAACCAAGCCTCGGAGTTAGAGCCAGGCCACTGCAACATCAAACTGTGATCTGGCAATGTCTCCAGCTGAGCTGAGAGGAAGCCTTGCAGGCATCACGTTCATGTCATGATGTCATGTCATGCCATGTCTCCGAAGAGGGGCCTGGCCTGGTGGATCCTGCACCAAAAGCACGGACGCAGCTCCAGCACCCGCCTGCATGACCTGCTGCCACCAAGCACGAGGTAGCTTCGTGAAAGCCGCACAAAACACGCGAAGCTCAACCCTGCGAAGCTGGGATCTCAGCGTTGGATCCGTGATGATGAGGGTGCGCCCAATAAGTACCGGGAGAATGATCTGCGATGAGCTTGTAGTCATACCTCGGGCACAGAGCGGCGAGGTAGTCGGCCTTCAGGAAAACACATTGAGGCCTTTTGCATGCAAGTTACATGAAGGAATCACCCGGGCCCAGGACCGTGCCAAAGACATCGTCCGCCGGCGCATTGGGTGACACATGAAGTCCTTTGGACGGCTTTCAGATATCAGTCGGGACCACAGTGTTCCCTCGCACCTATCTTAGCTGTCTTAACTTTTGTCATGTTGCAGAATAATGTGAAAGCACAGCCGGGAGAGATTTGCTTTCTCTCTTTCTCTCTTCTCAAGACTTAACGCAACAAGAGCCCTTGCACCTACCGTGGAGAGCAGGCGCGCAGGTCCCTTGCCGCAGCTGTTCGTGGCGTCCGCCTCAGAGAGGCTCCTGGTCAATGCTCTGCAAAGACCGGCTCGGCTATACGGG